ACATTTGTTTTTTGTGTATATGCCAGGATTGCATGAGTTTACAAATGTGAAGGGCTTAGATCCATTCATGGCACATAATAAGAACCTCACAAATGTTAGCAATTTTTTGTTTGTTTGTTTTGAGACAGTGTCTCACTCTGCCACCCAGGCTGAAGTGCAGTGGCACAATCACAGCTCACTGCAACCTCTGCTTCCCGGGGTCAAGCGATTCTCCAGCCTCAGCTTCCAATGTATCCGGGACTAGAGGCGCAAGCCACCAATGCCAGGCTAATTTTTATATTTTTCAGTAGAGACGGGGTTTCGCCATGTTGGCCAAGCTGGTCTCCTACTCCTGGTTTTAAGTGATCCGCCCGCCTCGAGCTCCCGAAGTGCTGGGATTATAGGCGTGAGCCACCACGCCCTGCCAAATGTTGGCGATTATTAAACTGTATATAGACTTGTTCCTTAAATATTTTGACTATTCCATGGGAAAGGTTTGTCCAGCATCCTGATTTCTATCTAGAAGACACAAACAAGACTAAAGGGTTCTGTAATTTAACTTCTTGTTCAGATGGTGTGAAGAAATTAAGTTCTCTTACTCTTATAGTCGCGATTTAGTGTACCTCTTACCTTTTAAGTCTTGTTTCAGTGAAGTTGAATGCATATTCTAGCGACTAATAAAACAATGCCAATGAGCATTTTAATTGATCGAATCAGTTTCAAATAAACTATAAGCATCAAACACCTCTAATAAATCATTCAGAAACGTATTGTGCAAGCAAAAAAAAAAAAAAAAAACCTTAACCAACTACTTGGTATGACTACTTAGGGGAAATTTCGTTGCAGACATTAATCATATTATTCCAGCACCAGTCTCTTTTTTTATTTCGTTAGCATTCTTTAGGGTATCAGCCCGTAAGACGCCTAAGAATTCTTTATGCTACTATTTGATGTATAGTCTGAAAAAATAATAGCATTATAAATATCTCTCAGAATCTTAAGAGTCAGGAAAGCTAGATACCAATTCTTAATCTGACTACAATTTATTATATAATCTTGAGAATTATTCTACTCTCTACTGTGCCTCAGTTTCTTCTAAAAATATGAGCTTCTGAATTAAAATATTGTAAATGATAGTACTGTGTAAGTTACCATTATTACCACCTGTTTCCAGACCATCTGTTAAAGGACAAGCTGTGGATATTCTTGTAACGGATAAAGTAATTCTGGCAGACTGTCTTCAGCTAGTCTCAAAACCTAGTTTAACTTCCATTAATATCTTTTCCCTGGGTTATTTAAGGGAAATTCCACGGGACTGCTGTAACATAGGCCCTAGTGTGTTTCTGTGCTGTGGCACCATCCTGAGCATCTCAGGCATTCCTTTTTTTATCCTTATGTCTATGTCTTACCCAAGGCTAAATCTTCAACTGTGTAATTTCAAATGTAAGTTCCACAAGAGCAAGGATTTTGTTCTGTTTTGTTCTTCACTATTATCCTCAGCATCTAGAATAGTGCCTACTATTCTCTAGCTGCCAGTCAATGTTTGTTCAATGAACTTGAACATCCTGCTGTCTCTTGATCTTTTCCTTATACTTAATTCCTTTCCGAAGTCTCCATTTCTGTCATTTAGAGTGAGAAAAGAAAATTATTTTTATCTAAGGAATGTGGTTATTTTAAACTGTCAGACCCAGAGGGACATTAAAAGGAGACAACAATCACATCCTACTTCTCCCTTGAGCTAGGTATTCGTCTCCTGAAACTGCTTGCTTATGCCACAAGTAGCTATAAATTAACCTAATGTCGCATCAGACACTATAACCTACATCCTATAGTTTAACAATGTAACCAATCACTAATAAATGTTATTTCCATAAACCAATAAGAATTTCTGTACACAACGTTGTATCAGTTCACTCCTTGTTCCCTTTTTTGCCTTTAAAGATTCACCTGTGGGCCGGGCGCAGTGGCTCACACCTGTAATCCCAGCACTTTGGGAGGCTCAGGCAGGCAGATCACGAGATCAGGAGTTCAAGACCAGCCTAACTAACATGGTGAAACCCCGTCTCTACAAAAATTAGCCAGGCGTGGTGGCACGCACCTATAATCCCAGCTACTCAGGAGGCTGAGGCAGGAGAATCACTTGAACCTGGGGGTGGAGGTGGCAGTGAGCCAAGATGATGCCATTGACTCCAGCCTGGGCAACAGAGCGAGACTCTGTCTCTAAATAAATAAATAAATAAATAAGATTCACTTGTGATGGCTGCTAATCGGTGTGTATATTCAAGGTAACTTGAATCTATGCTCCTAGGTTGCAATCTTCAAGCTTGGCCCAAATTAACTCTACTTATATTAATTTTGCTTCAGCTTCTTCCTTTTAGGTCAACGGAGTAGCACTATTTTTTCTAAGTCCCACAGGCTTGATCTTTTATTAATTTCCTTTCTACTCTTCAAAGTCGATCACTCTTTTGAAATTTCTCAATAGTAGACCCTTAAGATACATAGGTGTTAAGTCTGATACCTTCAAAAATAATCCCCCAGGCCGGGCACGGTGGCTCACGCCTGTAATCCCAGCACTTTGGGAGGCCAAGACGGGCAGATCACGAGGTCAGGAGTTCGAGACCAACCTGGCTAACATGGTGAAACCCTGTCTCTACTGAAAATACAAAAAAATTAGCCAGGAGTAGTGGTGGGCACCTGTAGTCCCAGTACTTGGGAGGCCGAGGCAGGAGAATGGTGTGAACCCAGGAGGCGGAGCGTGCAGTGAGCCACGATCACACCACTGCACTCCAGCCTGGGCGACTGAGCGAGACTCCATCTCAAAAAATAAAAATAACAAAAACAAAAATCCCCCAAAATATACTCTAGAGAATATAATTTCCCCAGTAAGGTACATGTGTCACAGTATGAATATAAAAGCAAAGTTGTATGTGTGTACAGGGCAGTCACTAACTGCCATATATCAGTCTCAAATAGTACAATTCAAATTCCAGCCCTAGTAAAATTATAAATGACTATGTCTTGAGTCTTTGGGGGTATAAATTAATAATTGAAACCACCTATAATAATTCTGTAATTCCAAGAGCAGAAATAAATGGAGAACACTCATATGAATACAAGCAAAGGACATTTATTCAAAGCTTGCTGTGGCAAAGCAGTCAGCCACCATCACTTGTGTTTGTCAGAGATTGGAAGGCAGGCAGGAGAGTGTGAAAGTTTTATAACGAGAAAAAAGGAAAGACTTCAGGTATGCCCTGATTTGATGTTGTTGGCTGGAGGCAGGTTAAGTGGAAGCGCGGCATCCTATGTGGTCAGTTGGGGATACACATTTGGCTTTCTCTGGTTGGTCCTAAATTGGAAACAGGACAAAAACTAAGGAAACTGGCAGTTGATCAAGTCCTGGGTTGATTAATGCAGAAATAGCTTTTGTCTTTCTAGACTAATTCCTGGAGAGGTTGTAGGTCAGAGTTCCATTTTTACATATGCTCTGGTCATTGTCCATTTCTATATTCTGTCTGTCACAAGAGTACTCTATATCATCTTATTTTCTGCAGTACCTACCAGAATGCTGGGTACATGATCAGCTAGACAAATATTTGTTGATTTGATTTCCTTCTAAGATGTAGTTAAATGGATTGAGGTTAACAATTTTTAAAAATTATTGTATATAAAAGACTTATTTTGAATTTGAACTGTCCTTTTTTTTTTTTTTTTTTTGAGACAGGGTCTCACTGTGTCACCCAGATTGGAGTACAGTGGCTCAATCTCGACTCACTGCAACCTCCGCCTCCCAGGATCAAGTGATTCTCCTGCCTCAGCCTCACGAGTAGCTGGGAATATAGGTGTGCACCACTATAATCCAGCTAACTTTTGTATTTTTAGTAGAAACGGGGTTTCACCACGTTGGCCAGGCTGGTCTCGAACTCCTGACCTGAAATGATCTGCCCACCTTGGCCTCCCAAAGTGTTGGGATTACAGGCATAAGCCACCTACTCCTGGGCACCTTACTACATTTTATGGAATAAATCATGCTGCAGTGAACGTCATAAACTTGGGAGGTTCTGAGATATCTAAGGTATTAAGGGTTATTGCATGCAATCAAGTCGTAAGTTTCAAGGGGTTTACTGGCAAGTTGGAGGAGTAATATATTCACAAAGATTTGAATAAAAGTTCCAAACTTCCGTAGAATAAGCA